CTTATTTACATGTTTTCTCATTTCGACTGGGGCAGGGGGCTGTTGGCACCTGCACAGATTACCTCCTCTGAGCTAGGAGAGGTGGGACAGGGGCCAGGAGCAGCGGTAGGGGTGGTGGCCCAAAAGCCCTTTCCTGTGGGCTGGGAGCAGCAGGAGGGATAGTGACCGGGAAGCCCCTTCCTCTGGTCCTGGAGCAGTGGGATGGCGGCTCAGAAGCCCCTACCTCTGGGCTGGGAGTGGTGGGAGGGATGGTGGCCCGGAAGGCCCTTCCTCTGGGCCAGGAGCGGTGGGACAGTAGGTGGCCCAAAAGCCCTTTCCTCTGTGCTGGGAGCAGCGGGAGGGATGGTGGCTGGGAAGCCCCTTCCTCTGGACCAGAAGCAGTGGAACAGCGGCTCAGAAGCCCCTACCTCTAGGCCGGGAGCAGCGGGACTCAGTGCCGTGGTCTGGTGGTCCGGTGTCCTCTGAGTCTTTGAAGTGTGGATCTAGGTTGCTGTACAGAGGAGCGGGGTGGGGGGTCCAGTGGATTTGTGCTGGGGCATGGGCTGATTCAGCTTGTTCCCCAAGACTCGGGACTCGGAAGGTTGTCCGCAGACCTGCCTGTCTGCAGTGGGCTGATTCAGCATGTTCTGCATGACTCATGACCTCGGTAGGGCATGCGCAGACCTCATATAATCATTAAATGTTAATATAAAGTTTTTCAGTATGCAAAAAAAAAACCCTCAGAATGTTCTATTGACGAGACACATCCATGAGTTTTTTCCTTTCAAAGCCTATACCATTTAATATTTTAAGTAGTTCTACGTTTTTAAATCTGTCTGGATTGAATAAAAACTAGTTAGCTCCATTCCTGAACCAATAGAGCATCAGGGAATATAGAGAACAGGAACTCAAAAATCTGCCACATGGCATAGACCCTGGGCCAGGCTCTTTTTTCTAATGTATCAAAGGCCATTATTGCATCATTTTGCTGATACTTTCTGCTAGCTGCCATGTAACGCCATTTCATTTCCTGGAAAGAAAAGCATCTTACTGATAGATCAACAAGGCAGACGGCTGCCTCCTGGTCTGTTCAATGTGGACTTCAAAGGAGATCTTGCATTTGATGACTTAAACTCCTATACATATCTTCATGATGAAGGTTCTATTTCTTCTTTCAATACTGCTCATACCATACATTGGTTCAGATAAGTATTAATCAAATTTCAAGAAATGTAGTTTGTGGGTTTTTTCTTCTTTGGCCACCAGTACTACTAAAGTGGCCATTTAACTTGAAAATTTATATTGCATCTTGTAAGGTGTTGAAAACACAGAAAATCTAACCCTCTTTCACAATTCTCCCATTGAACTGCCCTTAAAAATCTCACAGGCAGTCCCTCTGAAGGCTTTTCTATCTCAAGTCCTATGTTTGATATTAATCCCCTTCACTTTCCCTCAACCATCTAATCCTAGCAACACCTGCTCTGGTGTAAAACTACTTCTTGTTTTATGAAACTTCTCTAACTAAACATCTACTTTGGTCATTTGCTGTTTTCCTTTGAGACTGAAAAATGCCCCAAGTCAACTCCATAAGGATGAACAAAACACATTTGTGGGAGATGTCAAGGAAATTATTGTTCCCTTTGAATATCATGCATTAAAAAATAAGTATCGAAAAAGAATAGATTCCACTGACATTTATAGCTAAAACTTGAAGACTAGTTTTCTTGAAAACTCTGAGTGCAAAGCAGTCATAGTTTTTGTTTGATGTGTATTAACTAGATGTAATAAATGATTTTTTCATGTCTTTGCTCATTATAAGAGAGATGTGTCCTTTGCCAAAATAAGAGGTAATTAGAAAAATTCAAAGCAGTTCCATGAAACAATCAAGGAAAAAGTAGGGATGTTGCATAATTGGAGAGTGATGTTTCCTTTTTATAGAAATGCATAAGGAAAATAAAGAATTAAAGGTTACTTTATTAGATGTGTGAGAAAGAGGAGAAATATAAATAGAGGGTAGCGTAGAATATACATATATTTTTCTTTTATAATGGGAAGTTTTAAATTTTTAAATGGACAAAAAGTCAAAGGAGAAATCAAGAATAAAATCATCAGGAGAAATGACAACACTCTGAGAGGTTAAGTGAAAAACAAGTTACAGTGAGTGGTGATGAGAGTGTGTTAGCGAAATGGAATAATTAGTTGTTTTCAGGAACTGAATTTCCTAAATTGAGTATCATGACTAGCACTAATTGATGATTAATGGTTGAGTGCTTTACACCTTCCAAGCACTCAATGAATACGATAGACTGAAATGTCACTTACAGAGTAACATTTGTAAACCAACTGTACAAGCAACATGTGTGTGGGAAAGTTACATATATTTAAAGATCCAATTTAAATGTAAAATTAATAACAATAATAACAACAACACCTACCTTCTCCGTGTCAATGCCTTTTGACATGGACCATGTTGAGACAATATAATCCATGACTCTTTCGCTAAGGCCTTTTGGGACCTGATAGAGTTTCAGGAAGTCCCGAACATTATTCAGCATCTCATGGTATCGGTTGGTGTTGGCATACATTTGCTGGAAAATTGTGGTAACATTTCCAAAAATAGTTGCATAAAGAAGAGCTGAAAGAGAAGAAATGATGAAAACAAAATAAGTGTCCCAAGGGAAAAAAAATAATACGAAATTGACTAAATCAGTCATTAATTCAATGGAGATGTCTTTGTGAACTTATAGATGTCAACTCATACTAAATCCTGAGCTGAGTGCCCAGCACATGATATTCACCCAGGAACTGATCCCTTCAGTGTGATGAACATGACTATCCACATGCACCACTCCCGTCAACTGCACAAACCATAGCAGTGGTTCATAAAAATCAGACAATCCAAGATTATAATTATGTCTAAGAAATTCTGGCCTTACAATTGAAGTTGGCCTCCAGCTTTGTTGTCCCAAATAAAGCCTAATCTATTTAAATTTTCCTAGAGATTGATGATCTGGCTTGGAAATGCATGCTCATTCTCACTGCTTACTGCTTCCAGCTTTGGAATACCCCTTTTGCTTATAAATACTTTTGACAGAACATTAGGAATACAGGGAGTAGAGACAAATTGAAGTAGTCCATTTGTAAAAGTTTCTGGACATAAGCAGAGATGGAATAAAAAACTGAAATAAAACTCTGGGAGTGCCTGGAGTTATTAAATTCATGCCAGTTTTACAGTGATTATAAGTTTTTATCCCATCACTTATAAAGACAGCTTGATGGCCACCGTTATTTATCTATAACACACTATGAATGGGAATAACTAGTAACCCCTGCTGAAGTATAATTTACCAACTCTTCTTTCTCTGGACCTGTTTAGGTTACTAATATTGACCCAGTACAGCAAAATTATTTAAAAGAAGTTGAGTTCAGCCCAAACGTCTCCAAACTCCTGTCACACTCCACCTCCAGCCTAGCCTGCTCCCCTCATTTCACTTCTTTAATTTCAGGAAACTCTGTTGAAAATGGGGGCAGTACTTTATCTACCTTGATCTTCAGTAAACATAGTGTTTAGTCACCATAGCCATTCTGTAAGCATTTTACAATAAGTGGAATATCAGGCAGTGATCATTTTCATCCTGCGTCCTCCAAGAGTTTGAAAAATGACTCTGCTAAACAGAGTATCAGTTGTTTGGCTTTGCAGTTTCATCAAGCAAATCCCATTTGATATAAGTGATATAAAATCATGCTGGTGATGCAACTTAAAATTCTTAATATAGCATTTTGGGAAAATCATTCATTTTTTCAAGAACAGCTGTTCTTCTTTGAGTATAATCAATTTCAATTCCATAACAGAAAAATTATTTTTATAAATATTTAGCCAATTTTTCTGCTATTCTTTAGGAATTTTAATGACAATGTGTGCAGAACACTTGTTAAGCTAGATAATATTTTGTTGAACCTGAGTAGAGATATAGTATTGACATTTCTCAACTAGGTCTTTAAATGTTTAAATATTCATATTTTAAAACAAAAACTGGAAGTCATCACAGACTTAACATGTTTATTCCAACATGGTTACTGAGCAAGAGCAACATAGAAATAATATGAACACATTAAGGATTCAAGAAATATCTAACAAATACAGAATTTCATGATTTCAGAAGAGAAATAAAAAGAATTTGTTTTAAAAATAACGAACATTTAATGGTTAAAAAAAATAAGATTTGTGTTTTAGAATAGATCCCAGCTTTCAGTTATTAAAAAGTGTTAACTAATGCCACAGAACTACCTATTTTTTAAAATGTTTAACTTGTTTGGCTCCCTAAGATGCTTGAAATCAAACTACATTTGCTAAATAATTCACTACCGCCTTTTAGTTTAACACATTTCCACAGAGAAATGGAGCAAATGGAGGTTGTATAATGTCTCCAACAGAAACATAAATTTAATAAATTTTCATGCACAATAATACCTTCTCAAGAACTAAGGAAATCAGGTGAAAGATCACAGTATCTGGGTGTAGTATACTAATAAAGAGATACTGAAGAAGGCAAAAAGAAAAGGCTTCCTGGGACATTCCTTTCCTAAACTCCAAGCACAGCAGTGTGGAGAAAGATTCCTCCCACTGGGGAAGGAAAAAGGGAATTAAGTCCAGATCTTAGATTTGGAACCCTGTACAAGGCCTGCCATGGTGAACTAAGCCCTGAAGAGTCCAAGGCAGTACCACACAGAGAATCTCAGCAACCACTAACCTGACACTCAAAGTACTGCCTCCACTAGCCCTCTCTAATCTGAGAAAACAGAGTGTGCAGAAATGTCCCACATACTGTAGGGTAGGACAGGGAAGTAAGCACAGGACTTTGCCTTAAAACTCAGCACCCGGGGAAAACCAGCACTGGGAAGATCCCCACAGTCCCTGAACCCAGGCCAAAGCCCATAGACAGAGCTTCTAGTCCTGCCCTGATACCAGGCAAAGACCTGAGGCCCCAGTGGGACATTTACCTGTGGCTCGGTGCAGTGATCTCAAGCTTCAAGTACACCACGGCAGCATGCATGCCATATCAGAAGGGGCCTTGGCCCTGATCTGTGCTGCACTGGTCTCAGCAGGCTCTGGGCTCTGGGGGCAAACCACAGTGGTGGCAATGATGGCTATGAGACCCTATCCCTATGTCTTACCCAACCCCAGGCAGGACTGTATAAATAGCCTGTAGGCTTGGGAGAAAAAGTAGCAGTTGTTTAGTTGCTAGGAGCCTAGTGCAGTTCCTCCACAGTGAGGCCCACTATCAGGCAGAACCCTATGATGTGAAGCCATAAGACAGGGACTGTGCATGAGGTGTCTGGACTCACCCTGGCTCTAGGCAGAAACTTGAAGAAACAAGCTACCATTTTGAGCACCCCTCCACTGCATCCTGAACAACACACCAGCTGTGGATTTGTGACAGACTTCAGCCTGGAATGTCCTCTAGTGCTGAAACAGTGATAATGAGCCAATTGTAGACGTTTGGCAAACCTGAACTTTGGGCACTATTTAGTGCAATGACCACAGACTCAGAGAAACTAAGCAGCCCGCTCAGAATTTCTAGGACAAACACAGACAAAATCAGATTGTGAGGACTAGAACATAGACCTAACCCTTTAATATGCAGACATTATTGTATGCCAACATGAATTAATAACTTGCAGAGAATTATGACCATACATAACAGACAAAATACGATGTCAATAACTAATGATAAAGCAATAAATATATACTAATTCTCAGAAAATTTAAAATAGGCATTTTTAAGGAAACTCAATGAATGTCAAGAAAACATAGAGAAATAATTCAGTATTTTAACAACAGGAGGGTGAAGTAACTAAAAATAAAACAGAAATCCTTGAGCTGAAAAATACATTAATTGAAAGGAATATCATAATAGGAGGCACCAATAGGACCAAACAGAAGAATCAGTAAGCTCAAAACAAGACTAATCAAAAACACACAGTTGGAGGAAGAAAAGAAGAAAAAAATGAAGAGGAATGAAGAAAGCTTACGGAAACTTTGGGGGCTGCATTTAAAGAACAAATATTAGGGTTACCTGGGTTGAAGAGAATGCCAAAGAGGTAGAGAACTTATTCGGAGATAATAATAGAAATATTCCTAAACCTTAAAACATACAGGTATACCAGTACACAAAGGTCAAAGAGCACCAATCAGAATCAAGTACATCAAGTTTGTTTCAAGACATATTATTATCAAGCTCTCAAAGGTTAAATACAAAGAGATGATCCTCAAAAGAGAAAGGAATAAAAATACATAATGATGTTTTAGTAGCCTGACAGCAGGATTCTTAGCAGAATCTTATAGCCCATAAGGAAGATGCAGTTTTCACATGCTGAAGGAGACAAACTTCCAAGAAAGAATATTGCAGACAGCAAAGCTATCAACCAGAAATAAAGGAGATATGCAGAATTTCTAACAATCAGAAATAAAGGAGAGATACAGAATATCAGGGCACTGGTGGCTCCATAACATCTTGACCACACCCCCATGCAAAACAACTGTGATAAAAATTAAGCAATAAATAAAAGTTTGACTAAGTCATAGAAAAAAATTGGGGGCTGGTAAATTTCATGCCAGCCACCATGGTCATATGATTAATCCAAATCAATAAATGCTGGTGTAAGAAGTGTTTTAGAGAAAAATATAAGATAAAGCTAATATAGAAGATAAGGTTTAAATACATAAGATAAGGTTTTATAAGATAAGGATGAATATATAAGGTTAAATTTTATCTAAATTATAAAAACTACAGGTTAAGTAAAAATCTTGTATGAAAGTAACTTTAATAAATCTGAATATATGACAACTAAGACTCAAACTGGGATTATTATGCTTAGCCATAAACATAAAAAATTTGATAACAAATTGGTTTATGCCACATGAACAGAGAATTATAAGTTTGGTTTTGGTATTTTTTTGTGCCTCTTTGTACTCACTTGTATAGAACTTCGAAATTCAGAATGAAAAGAAAGTTGTTCTGTTTCGAACCATCTAAGCAATAAATGTTATATTTAAAAAGCATCAGATTGCTGATCCAAAAAACAATTTTTGACAACAAAATTCTTCACCATAATACTACTAGCTAGCAGTTTAAAACTCAAAGTAGTCGGTGGTGCTTTATATCCACCTAGGGTTTCTGTTCTATAATCAGCAAACCCCATTAAACCTTACCACTCTTTACTAATTCAGCCTATCTACCACCATCTTCAGCAAATCCTAACAAGGCACAAAATTAAACACAAATAAAAACATAAAAACATTAGCTCAAGGTATAACCCACACAGTGGAAAGAAATGGGCTACCTTTTCTTATAAAGAATATTCTCTTCATCATAGTCTTCATGAAATTTAAAGACCCAAAGAAAATATACCAGTAAATAAAGAATAGAGAGCTTAACTGAACAAGGCCATGAAGCATAAACACACTGTATGTCACTCTCTTCAAATATTAAATAATAATGATTAATTTATTAAAAATAATATGAGGAGATAAGTCATAACAAGGTAAGCAAAGAGTGTGGTTGGATAACCAAACTCTAGCTTAACTAAAGCATCTGGCTTACACCCAAATTTCAATTATAATTGACCATTTTG